GAGGGGGAACGGGGGATATGGGTCGCATTGACACTCGTTTGGGCTGTTTGAGTGTGAACGAGTATACTGTCTTCTTTCCTTCGGTGTGTATTGCACATGAGCTCTCAGAAGGAGCTAGTTTTGGGTAGGCGTAGCTTAATTTACAATGGTCATTCACTTGTTCTCGTAGGAAAGGGGATTTAGAGCGGAGGAGAGTGCAGTGTGCCACCTAAAAGACACGGAGGGGAGAGGCGTTAGAGCTGAACGACATTTCTATCAGTAACACAATAAAGCGAGACGGCAAGCCTCCTTTTGTCACTTCTTGAAATGCTATAGCAATGGGTGGGGACTCGCTTACCGTAGATGCAAAAATTGCCAAAACTCAGATTTAGCATGTTGTGTAGGGGTTTTTTAATTGGATTCGAGTTTGTGGGGGGGGGGGTCTATGATTCCATCTTCAACCAATACGAGTGTTGGAAGCAACGCTTTCCCTAAATGGGTTTGTGTAGCAATTAATGACGAAAATTCCTCCACACTCGCTTTCCCTAAAGTCATGATTCCATCATATTAACCCTGTAGGCTACAAAAATTAATATTCAATAATAATAATCATAATTCAATTTAGGGAGTTCTCCTAAATATAAATTGTAAACATTAGCGCACTTATGGAATTTATGTTGCGATCGCATTGAAATTCCTTCCCTAAATTCCTACGACTGCCTATTGCATGAAAATTGTTTTTGTTTTGTTTTGGGTGAATGCAAGCACTTGGTCATCTTTCACTTTATTTGACTTAAAGATTATATTGAGCAAAAGGCAAACAACATTCGTACCTTTCAAAGGAGACAGGTGTGTCTGTTCGGAAGTAATATACATGAGATTTGTAGGTGAGCTGAAGGACTTCTGATTTGTGAAGCGTTTGATCGTCAGCGTCGCCCGACATCGCGACCGTCGTGGAAGATGGTCGTGCTGACTCCAGACGATAGCCCAACAGCGGGAGACTTGCAATCGGAGTAAATTCTTCCGGCGATTTGTAGAAAAAGAGGGTGAAGTCAGTGAACACTGACCACAGTTTCTGCCAACCACAACTACTCTTGAATTTCCTCAGAAGGTAGCCACTTATTTCATACTAAAAATAAAAATCCAGATCAAATAATTGGCGCGAAGTTAAATTGCAATTGCGAGTACAATTTACTTACTTGGTTGGCATTGAGAATATTGTCAAGTGAGACACTGAGACGTCTGTGCCAGCAAACGTAGGCAAGACCACTACAACGCAGGACTGTCTGCTGGACATGAGACCTTGGGCCAAGAAGACCCAAGTAATTGCCATCGGTGTTGGAAATCACGTCAGACGGTGCCTCCATAATGCTTGACTTAGCATCGGATCCGTCTTTACTGTCCAACTGATCGCGTTTTGACAGATCTGATTCGATGATCAAGCAAAATTTATGATTAGGAGGGGGGGGGGGGTGTGGTTAAAGTAAGACACTCATTCGACCAGCTATAAATTCAGTGATTCTATCACAAATTAAGGAATTGCCTACTAGAAGATCCTTGCTATTCGTTAAAATAGGAGATGTTGAAGCCTTTCCTCTCTTCCTTTTTCGAATGAACCCGGATGCGCGTTTGTGTCAATCCATACTTGCCCTAAAATTTTATCCTTGCAACATTTATGAAATTAACAAAGAGCCGATGTACAGGGAGGTTTTCTCACAATTTCAATCCAGATACACTTGCTCTGTTGTGCTTACTAAGGCTAGAATACACTCAATCAGCTTTGAGTTACTTCGAACTTGAACGTCCTGCAACTCAAGACCATTATTTATTGAAATACCGCACTCAGAAGTCGCACTTCACATAAATCGCCATAAAATGTCATCTATTGAATTCAAAAAGACATTGCGATGGAAAGAGAAGCTTTGCAAAGGACTATCGAACTTCTACTGAGATCTTACCTAGGCAAGATCCTAAGTGGAAAATCTGAATGTATGCTTGGGTGTGTTTTATATTAGATACTCTCATCTTTCGAAGCCAACTGAAGGAAAGTGGACGAAGCATCTAAGTGTGGGTTAGGAGCTCTGAGCTTCCTACAGTAGCCTAACTGGAAGGCTTTGAATGTTTTCCTTGAAAAGAAGAGTACTCGAAAAGTGGCATAGTATCAACCATCTGAGAGCTCCCATCTCCTCACTCTAAGTATTTGTAAATCCCAGATGTATGTGAACCTCCATAATGGGTCGAATAGTACCTCATTATTACCTGACAGTATTTGTTATATGACTTAAATTATTCACAAAACAGTTGAGCCAAAGAGTTTATCTGATCTAAAACACATTACTGTAAGTTTCCCACAAACCTGATACCCGGGAACTCACAAGTCACCTATTTGCGGTTAGTCAGCGCTAAGTAACGACGACGGGCCTGAGCTTTAGCAAACGTATACCTCTATCAAGTTGGAGGTCTTGAGCTGGATATCAAGCAATGAGAATGAACTATTAAGCCAGCGAATAAAGATAGCAGGATGGAATGCCTTCTTCATCTTCCTGACAAGTATCGGAAATCACTTTTTGCAATGGGGGGTGCGTGATAGACTTACCTCCACGTGGTGCACCCTGGCCAATGTATACTCATATGGCAAAAAGTCTATTATTCGGCAGTTGACTTCTGACTTCAAACTACCATCACCCCACTGTATGTCATATTCGACTACTTCCACAGTACTCACCTCACCTATTTTCTACCTTTGTGTCTGCCTCTTACTTCTTTGAAACACTTCTGTCCCCCCCCCCTCTCGATTTTTTTCACTTTGTTGTTCCTTCTCTCTGTGAAGTCTGAAGTCAACTAAAGGGCTAATGATAACCATCAAAACGCCTGCCATTTGATATAATAATAACTTTTTGCAATGGGCTTGAGATGAATGAAGTCAGGTAGCTTATAGAGCTACTGAGTATCGATTTTTCAAACACTCAGTCACTTAAGTATAAGAATCTATTTCATTAACCGCATTCACTCCATTTGACATATTGAATTTTAGAAATTGTAGACATGGCCGAAAGGTTGGCCGTTGTGAAGAAAGGCATGCTTGAATTTCAACGTCTTGGAGACTACTCACCCGAAAGTTTTTCCGGTTTGTTTAGCGACTTGCTCGGATAAAAGTTTGAGTGCTACCAACTCATGCAGAAATGTACAAGCAGCAAAAATGTATTAATTTAGCTAAGATGTTCTAATGAAGGAACAACCTGAAAATCTTGGAGGACTTACTTCTTGGAATGAGTTGTGAGCTTGATATTGAATGCAACTGGGACTTGTCCTCACCGCTTTTTTCCTGGCCAATAACTTTGTTAAGAGCGTTCACCCAAAGGTGCTTCTGTTCTTCACTTGGTGCTGCAAATACCACACGATGTGTTCGAGTGTGTGCAGCCTTGATGGCAGAGGAGAGTGTACCCGTGGATTGGGTCTTTTCAATTTTGTCGCTGGAAAAAACCAGGATTGCAAACCTGTGCCGCTGTCGATTAACTGTCGAGTTTTGGACTGACGTCATTTCCTCTTGGCAAATCCCCTCGGAGAAAGATACGGAGGTGTTGATGGAAGACTCTAATCCAGCATTATGGAGTGACAGGACTCCATGGATCTAAACGAGAAAAGGTAAACACGGATTGCACTATTAAGGAGGTTGAGGCAGCATATTGGAGCTTCGTACAAAACTCTCCTTGACACCGGAAAGAAAACTTCTGATTTAGTTCTAAAAGTTTTGCTCGTTGTCCATGGCAGACCAACTAGACGTAGTTGAGATCAAAAAGCGGGAGCCCAACTTAACTCAGATTATCATGTCTCAAAGGGGGTCTGTTTGGTGACGTGGATTATGGCCAAGCTTAGTGTTTCCTCTTTTGGTGAGCCGAGGTCGAATCTGTGGAATTATCACACAGTTTTGGGTGACCTTGGTAATTAAAAGATTAAGCACTTCCGAACTGACGGTAGCCAATCTTCACCATGTGAAAACAAAGAAAGACACGTTAGTCTTTTGCAAAGAAGGCGTGACAGTAGTAGGCCTGCGTGGCATACCACCCCCTCCCCAGTTATAGAAGAGCAGATAAACAAGCTTCTTCTCTTTATTGTCTTATCTCATGCTTTGTCTGGTTTAGATCGCTTTAAGGAATCAGCCTAATTATAATTTTCTTGGGAGAAAGGAGAACCTGGTCTTGTAGCTATGTGCTTGCTATCATGCCAACAATTCAGATTACGAGGAGGATTCGTATGTGCAGGCGCTGTGATGGATAGGAGGTGTCTTATAAGGAGGTGAAGCGGTTACCAAGTCCGTCGATGAATGGCACCCTGGCGCCCCCTCCATAAAAAAAACACATTTTGACTATTGGCTGTAGTCGGGATAGCTACGTGTCTGTGATCTTCTTCACCAGTTTACAGGCCTACACATTGATTGTAGTATCGGAAGTTTAAGTGAATGTACACAGAGTATAATGAAATAAATGATTAAATTTCTTTGACTTGTTTGGAGAAAGTTTGCAATATTAACTTGTTTAAATTAATTTACATTTCAAAAAGACCAATTTTAACAAAAGGAAATTGTTGGGCTGGGTTGGGGGGGGAGACAGCGTATATTTCCTAACGGGAGCAGTGGCGTAAATGGTCTTAATGACAAAAGAGAAGAGCATAAATGCCCTCCACCCAGTTTATTGCATTTCGATGCACTCGGCGTGGTGATCGAGCGATCAGGGAAAATGGCAAATAGGCTCGAAGCACTCGGGTGGTCCAACTTAATTGCTCAATCCTGGCCTACTTATTTCTCCTCTTCCTGACTGGGGAATATTTGAAGTAGATGTGAAATGGTTGATTAATCACACTGGGAGGGAAGAGAGAATAGGGTATCAACGGAGCAAGTATGTGCAGTCGGCAAATGAAAGCAATGATCTCTGTCGGAATTTTTTCCTGCAAAGAATGTTGGCATTTTGTGTTGCTTAGGCAGCTCAATTAGGGAACCAATAAGGGCAAACAGTACTATTCTCATCTAAATGCATACCAGTGGAGAAATGATATCATTTTAATTAGAGACGTCCTATCCCAGTTGAACTGTCTTAATGTGATTGGATTACAAGATTGTCACTTAACTTCGATGGCTACAGATTGGGTTGGCATGGCAGAATTATTAAGAATAATTGTTTAAGAAAAATCCGTCACAGCATAAAAGGTGTTTTGCATTCATTGAATGAGCCCATTGATAAGCAGATATTGACAACTGTTAAGTCATAGGTCTTGAGATCGAAACAGCCGATTATCGAAATTATCAGCTCTCTGGGTTAATACTGGAGTATTTAAGAGTTCGAGAAGGACTGCGATTCAAGAAGGTGGATTGCCGTTTCATCTCTCCCTCTCTACTTATCTACAAATCTTAAGATTTCCAAACGGTCCCATGAAAGGTACGGGAAAGAACACCGGAAAGTTGTTAAAATCGATGAGTGAATGCAGACAAGCGAAGAGCTAAGTAAAATGGGAGATAAATTTACAGAAAATTAAAAATTTGGGCAACTAAAAATAGGGAATACAGAAGGAGATTCAAGTATGGGATGCGCGAATGCAAGGAAGTAAATCGGAATACTGAAATTTCACAAAGAATCGCGAAATCACCTTGCTTCAAGGCTCAGTAGGAATGAAAGTCCGAACACGTTGTCAGTTTGTAGGGAAAAAGTGTGAAGGGTGGGGGGTGCATACAGCGTTGTCGGCTTCCGCGCCCACCTCCTCGTATGCGCGCCAACTGGTCAACGAAAGGTGGGCGGGGGGGG